GCCAGTCATATACAAACAAAACCAGAAATACTATGAATAAATGAATATTAGCCACTGGAAGATTTCTTTTGTCTGTGTATCCCAGCCGAAACTAGGACATATTCTTGCAATACACACTATGAGCTGTACATAGTCTGAAATACCTGTTTGCAGTACCTACTTTAACCAGGGAACGCTGTTTAAGGTAGAACAGTGGATAAGAATTAAGCTTTAACAGGAGGATAAAGTAGCAAAGGGAACTAGGAGAAGGACAGAGCATTGCAATCACCTCTTTTTTCCATAATTTTGAGGGGATATTTGGTGTATTTATCCTAGTGCCTGCAGCTATGTGATCACATAAGACTTATAGATTACATTGTAGGATATGTTGGAAACCGAAAATCATGGAGGAGCATGCCAACCACTCTTTTTTTTTTTTTTTTTCTTTTTTCTTTTCCCCCCTTTTAACTGAAGAATGAATCTGGAGATTATTTTCATAACACAAGGTACCAAATGAAATAAACACCCAAGGAACATTCAAGATAGCAAGTTTACCAGTAAATAATAGTATGTTATCAAACAATGCAGTTTCAGAGGCAAAAGAAAAGATGGTGAAACTGGAATGAGTTAAAAAAATACACGTAGGAGTTTATGAGATGCAGAGACTACCTAATGTTTATTTGTCTACTTCTCAATTAAACAGTGTACAACAGAGTTCAAAATGGGGAAAGATTTTAAGCATATTTTAAAAAGGTTAATTATCTAAGGTAGAATAAAAAATTGAGGTAAGAGTAACTGCGCAATATAACACAAAGACAAGTCTGTGGAGAACTGAGAAAACCTTCCTCAGGAAACATATGGTCTTTTAGTCTTAAACTCTAATTAAACATTACATAGACTGAAAGACACAATAGAAACTGTAGTTAAGAGAACAAATCAGCAGCAGCAGGGATGAAGTGGACTTAAGTGATTTCATAGGTGTCTTCCAGCTCTAAACGCTGGTTTGTTCTTCTGATTCTACTCCTTGTCAGCTTAACTCATTGACTAAAGTTAGCAGTGTTAAGTCATTACTAGTTGCACATGATGAAAAGTTGCCATAATCCCCCCGTGAGTCACCTCTGAGACAAGTACATGCTGAAGGTTGCTCAATTTGATAAAACTATTTTCAACAACGCAATATGCTTCACTGTATTTAACACCACTACGATGTGTTCCCAGAAAAAAATCCTCATGAAATCTTGTATTTCAGAAATGCTTGCTTTTCAACTCTTATGTTCCTTATTGTTTTGTGTGTGAGAAAACCTTCCTGCACAGCAAGCCTGAAGACAACCACTGTGCTGTGGCACTCTTCCATGTAAGAAAGTATTGGCCACACATTACCACACACCCTTCACTAAAACATTAACCTTTAATGCTTTAGAAAATACCAAATTTGGAAGTGTAACTAGGCATGCAGAATTATTTTTCAAGGCAACAGGCCAAATTCTGTTTTTATTTATCAGTATGACTCCCTTACGTTGTTATTCTTGATTACTGCTGGTATATACATGAGCCTGGAAACTAGCTCAATAATTGGAAAAGACCAAATGACTTTTCCAAGAGTGAAACGGCAATAGAAGTTGACAAATATTAAAGTTTCAGTAGTTCTAAGTTTCAAGTATAAAGGGATATATATATATATGTGGCTTCCTGGACAGAGTTGGAGACAGCATTTGGAATGGCAAATGTAACAAAGCACAGGTAAAGAAGTACAGGATCTTCAGTTAGACAGATGCCATGACATACGGCTGTGAGGAATACAAAATGCTAATTCCTCTACCAGAATGAAGATGATAAGTAACATTGCTTCAGCAGTCTGAGGACTGGCAAGTATTTACCCTTATCCATCTTTTGTACAAGTACCCTTCCAGTGTCCTTAAGCTAGACTGTTGTGAAGACAGCGAACTGAGGGGTGGCCTAACAACTCTGTCTTCAGGTGGCCCTGTTGTTATCAAATTTTAGAGAGCACCAGTACGGTACAGTTGATAGATTTGGATTATGATCACAGAAGAAAATTCTTATAAACACTTTGGTAGCTAATGCTGTAAATGAACCGCAAGTGGTGAATTTTCTTTATAGTCCATGGATTACATGAATTTCCTGAGCAAACCCCACCAAAACATAGAAATAAAAGATGTCACAGAGACAACCACAGCCACTATAAAACAGAAGAATTCTCATATGGTAAAGATATAAAGGAACCATGTTCTGACTTAATTTTCAGAATGGACAGCATGATGCATATATCCCAATCCCATTACAGAGGATAGTCTCTCCAGTAAGGGAGTTTCCTCTCCAAATGCAGTGAAGTCTTAGACAGTATTTATAGATGTAAAATGTTTACATTCTTAGTCAAGTTATTTCTCATGGGTATCTACTAAGCCACTAAGAAGTACATTTTGTCCCTCTAAGAGCAGGTGCTGCAGGATTAAGAGTGACTTTAACTATCATGCTATAGGACTCTACAGTGCAGTCAGTAAAATAAGGGTGATAAGCATAAAGTTGCTGAATGCTCTGTAGAGTGCAGGATGCTGCTTCTCTGCCTTTGGGACATCTTTGGAGCAGAGATTCACCTGCTGCTTTTCAGTTGCTCCAGTACTGAAGAAAGGTAGTTAACTGCAATGGATGCTCTATACCTCATACTATTCACACTGTCTGACTGGCTGGCTCAGCGGTGTGACTTCACCCAAAAGAGCTGACAGAAACCTTCCTCTGCATACACCCCAGTCCACTCACCTGGCAACCCATAAGTTGTCGAATAAGTCAGTTCTGTGGCATTCCTGGGCTGCTATTTATGATGCTGGTAGTTGACCTGCATGTAAGAAGGTGGTCTACATGGCTAATATGATGAATCTATGTGAAGGCAAGTTAATAGTTTGCTGAAATAAATATAATCTAAATACTTTTTAAGGGGGGTTTCAGTAGCAGCTCCTGTACAGCACACAAGTAGATTTATACTTCTGTCGTTGGTAAATACAGTCTTATTTAGATTATAGATGCTAACATTGAGACCTACTAAGCAACCTCTACAGTCTTTATTTCAGGAATAAGGGCTCCCCAAATGATTTAATAAAGCACAAAGGAAAGAAGGTTTCCTATTCACTGAATGACAACAACTCCAGTTCTTTCAATAAAGTGGAAACTAGTTCCCATAAGAGCCTGAGAAATACTGAGGACTACAGGGTTAAATCATCAAAAAAGTTATTGAGGGAAGAGAGAGACAGAGGGAAGAGGTCAGCATGCTGATGCTCAGAAGCAGCAGAATACTAAATCAGCACCGTTCCTGTTGGTGGTGGTTTTTTTTACAGAACAGCCAAACTACCAGGGAAATCTCTTAAGTCTTTAAAGAAAATTTACAACTATTTACAAGCCTGCTGGGTGTGGAAATATTTTTGCTACATGTTTTGCTTACACAACCAATAGATACTTGCATGGTATAATGAAACTACCCACTATTCATTCTGAACAACTTACAGTACTCAGGAAAACAGAGTTCAGTTTTCACGTTAATCAAAACCATTTTAAATTCTTTAGTCTGCTCCTGTCTTCCTCATTTGTGATTTTAGAGTTGATTGTGGGACACAAATAAGGCACATCCTCAAAGATACACATGTAAGTAAAATGCCAGAAAACTCTTTCATTTCAGACGGCCAGTTCAGCATCTTAGAGCTACAGCTGTGCAACATCAATTTCTCCCCTATACTTGAAGCAGCTGTTCTACAATGTATTCAACTTTTTATCAGGAACAAAACCTTGATCAAAACATAGCATTAAAATCAAGGTCCTTTTTCACAAAATGACTGAACATCAAGATGCATGGTGATACTTACCGTCCTTTCCTTTCTTCCCTTCCAATTAAAGCTAATTTTATTTTCAGTAATTTTACAGGAAAAAACAAACTCCACCTTGATTTTATAGCATCTTCAAATATTAGTCTTTGAACATTTTGATCTCAGGGTAAAACCTCCCATGTGGACATGCACACCTCTAAAGCTGTCAAGGGAAGAGCTCAACCACAGTGTTTCGGTACAGCTCATGTTCAGGGATCACTGCTTATCATATTGTGCTCTCCAGATACTTGGACAATTCTACTTGCAAACATGCTTGCTCCTCAGAGCCTCAGTCATGCTGCCTAAGTAACTTCACTTGTGCACATACAAACCAGGACTTACCATTCTAACTCTTAAAAAGTTTTTTTTTCTTTTTAAATGCTAATGCAAAGTGGAAACAAATGCAAGCATTAGATAAGATAAATCCCAAGCAACCTAGGGGATGCCAGCTTAGGGGAAATGATTTAGAAATTGAGCCCCAGGTGTATAGTAAAAACTTACTTTGTGTAAAACTGGTTTTTAGGAAGATTTATACAGGGATATCTTTCATCGTCTAATCCCAGTTTTGGACAAAAACAAATAATGAGAGCCTTCACATAGCACAGACACAAATAAGCATTTTCAGTTCACAGAATTTAAAACATTAATATTAAAAGCTTTTAGTATTAAAAGCAGAAAATAATGCTCAGTCTCAGGGCTGGAACACCAATGAAATATGTTACCCATGCAGCAGATTCACCAGCAAGTCACAATATTCACAAAATTTCAAAGTACAAATAATTTAACATTTAGTTACTGCTGTCAGTATGGCTTTCAAGTAATTCATATATTGACAACTGTGAACAATGCTCCTTACATTTAGTAGAGTCCACCACTATACGGTAAAGCGTATTTCCATGTGACTACAATATTAAGCTATAGGCTAAGTTTTCTAAGATTTGCCCTTTGGCAGGTTGTTGAGATGATGGTAGAAGCAAAAACCTGCAACTGATAAAACCTAAACCCTTATAAAGATGTGGAAAGCAGTCATCATCAAAATTGTTTATTTAAAACCATACTTGTTATAAGTTCAGGCAATGATTTAAATAATGTATAAGGTAATGAGAAATGCAAGACTCCAGAAAGAACTGAGAACTGGTATTTTGTATTTACCTTTGGTATTCCGGAAGTGTCAAGCCAATTCTGGAAGATACTTTCTACAGTTAACCCAGATCTTAAAAAAAAAAAAAAAAAAAAAAAAAAAAAAATTAGAAGACACACATAAAAATATCAATTTTTCCACATGAAAATTAACGCTTTAGAAGCTGAGAAAACCCCTGAATTCCAAGTATTGGTTGTGCTGCAATGGTACTACATTCTTGGGTTTTTAATGAATAATATCATCAGAGGTGATATGAGCAAATTAAAGACAGATCAGGTTCTGTGTGCTTAAAACTCAAATGATAAAGTCAGTGCTTATGAGGATTGACAGAGAAAGTGTGAGATGGTAAACTGCATTTATGAAACATGTAAAGTATGAGCAGGTGCTCTACTTCTTGTTGAGTGGATTTTTGTTTCTTTTACAGAAAAAAAAAAAAAAAATCACAGGCAAGTAAATTTAACCAGAGACATTCAAAACCAGTATTTTGTTACAGAAGCAGCCTACATGTAAAGATAAAATACTAAAGAAAATGAAATTAAATACAAACTTCCTTAAATTTTGGGGTTTTAAAAGGCACTGAGGATATTAATCCTCAAAGTTACCAAGTATCTAATATATTTTAGTTTCATTTTTTCTGCACTTTTTTTATATCCTGGTAACATTCACAGTGAAGTCACAGAATAGTCTGGAACCCCAACAGAAGGAAATAGTTTGTCATGATCAAGCTGTGTGGGACTGAAATAACCACATGCATAAGCATTTGCAAATTCAGAAATTGTATTTCCCCTTTTACTTTGGTTAGCAACTTCTGTTGCATTTACTTCAACTCTGGTTGAAGACTTCCCAACCTGCAGGGAAGCCAATTTAAAAACAAAAACAAAAACAAAACCAACCCCCCTGTCCATGCAGTATGTCATGTCCATGCAGTATGCCAGTACTGAAAAAAGGAACCTGAGTAAGCCCTCAATGAATGTAAGTATTATGAGAAGCAGAATACATGTGCATGGTAATGCCTTGGCAAGACTCATTCTAATACTTGCAGCTACCTTCATGTATGTAATGTGTACCATAACCAATAAAGCATTCATGAAAAGAACAGCCATTTTGAAGCTCTGAAGTAGGAAGGCAAGCAACCCAATACAATTTTTATTTGAAATACATGACAAAGAAGTCTTTCCCCACCACCACCCCCCAACCCCTGACAAAGCTGTGCTCAAAATTCTGACCCTAAAGGAGGTTTATTTATGGACTGTATCAGTGACTAAGAAGGATTTGTAATGAATACATCAGTCACTTTTACTGAACGATTTTTAAACATCTTTAAATATTAACTTTCGCTATGCCAATGGGAGAGAGATCAATCACTGTTATGCCTGACATGCAAATGGGAAAACTAAGGCTTAGAGAGCTTATGGAGTCTCAAAAGCATTCAAGCAATATGTTAGTGGATGAACCTGGAACACATTCATAGAGTAAAAATTTCTGTGTGTTTGCTGACCATCGTTACTACATTTTTTTAACTTGGCTAGTTTTATTTGGAATGACCAAAGATTTAAATTACTGGTATTAAAAGGTGTAACAACAGCACTTTTCGAGACATGGCTTATATCCTGAGTTAGATATTCTTATCCTTGTTGAACCCAAGATGAAAAATTTATCCTCCGTCTCCAAGCAGACCTATGTGTTACCATTCCTTTGAGGTAGAATTAATGGCTACAACCTCCACTCTACACTATTGTGGTAGAAGCCCTGCCATCCTTACTCACACTAAGCAGTATTCTGAATGAATGAGCAAGTCTACTTAAAAGAATAAAATTCTCCTAATGTGAATTAAGGGTGGGAGAATCTGATCAAAATAGAGAGTCAGCTAGCTTCTCATTGAATAATTGTTCAACAGTATATGCAAAAAATAAGCAATCCATTCTTAATAAGCTTCTCCAACATACACAGCAATTTTGTAACAGAGGCAAAAAGTGGACACCAAGTGCCTTAAACATAAGAAAGTCTTGCCTCACAAATGCTACCCTGTGTCATTCGGCTACTAAGATACGCTTGCATACATGGGCTACAGCATCATACTGAAAATCAGAAGAAGCTACAGGTTAAAGAAAAAGAGCATTCAGATTACAATGACAATAAAGCCATTCATACATGCTTTCATCTTCTACTAACAGTCTTCTTCAGTTTTTGATCAGTCATACCTTATGGTGAAGGCCAAGAAGGCTTAATGTGGAAAGAGCACTAGTCTATTTGCTGCTGGTAATACATTTTGATAGTTCATGTAATTTAGGTCCAAACTTCACTTCAACAGTGTCTTTACAAGTAAGAGATGACACATCAGCCTAGCTGAGGTGAATCCCCAAAAGAGAGAGTAATTCCCACAGAAACAAAGTAATCTTCCCAATCACTAAATCTGAAATGTCAAAATATCTCTTGTAACATCAGGAGATTGTAGACTGTCACAGACAAACAAAAATTTCTCTCTGATCATGTGGTTCAGATAATTGCAGCAGTCAAGCAGAAGCATTTCTACACGGCCAGGATTCTGAATTTTCAGGAAATTACCATTCTGCATGTCTGATCACTATGGAAATCAATTTTCTACATATAAGTGGACATAAATGCCATGCTTGAAATTGGGTAGTGTTCTACATTCAAATGAATTACTAAACATCCAGATTTGGTCAGCTTTTAGTAGTACCTTGTTATTTGTGCAAATTTATGAAATTTAGAGCATTTGACTGCTATATCCTTCAGGCCATAATTAACCTTCACCTCACTACAGTGCTCTAAAAATTGTTTTCTAGTCTAAGTTAGTTAGCTGAGTCTCTTCCACAGGGAATGGAGAGAAAGAGAAGTATTTCCAAATAGTCAGTCAACTCACCTTCTTTGGGATAATTTGATGTTTTTTCTTGAGTTCTTACTTCTGTCTGGTTACTAGAGACCACATACAGGACTAGCTTAAAACTGGACACCCAGATTTTATATAGTCAAAGGTAGATCAGGTGTATCATACCATTTATTCTGTCTCAAGCAGCATAATCAGAATAACAACTTTTTATTTGTTATTGCATGAATCAAAACTAATACAGCTTAGTGTTCCAATGCTGAAGCAGAGCTAGCAGCTAGGGAAAAATACCCTTATTAATGCATTTAATTTGTCTTACCCAGGGTAAGAAACACAGCCTCACAATGCCAGTCTGTCTGCCCCCCCCCGAAACTAAAGTTAAAGTGCAAAATTTCCTCAGGAAAAAAAAACCAAAACCAAAACCAAAACCAACTATGCAAAATAATCTATGCTACATTTGCTATGTAGCGTCTTTGCTTAATATACCCTCTATTTCTTTTAAAGCCAACAACAGCTCATTTCAAAACACTGGCTTTGAAATGAGCTTATGACACTGAGGGGAATTGCACTGTTCTGACACCACACTAATCCAGTCAGAAACACCACTAGTAAGTTGCTCAGCTGCTCCTGAAACTTCGACATTTTTCTCAAGGGCAAAGACAACAATGCTGCTATTTCTCTGCTTGCAACACCCTCAGTTTCAGCTAAACACCTGTCACATGACCATATGCCATCTCCTTTGTACTTGCACACACCTTTTTTTTTTTCCAACTTAGGGCATTCTTGTTGGCACCCATCAAAAAAAGCAATTTGTTTTAGCAGTTTACAGGCATTCACTATTTTCCCCCCAATATATTAGTAATTTGCAGACTATTGCAAAGATGTACTCTGAATGTGTTGCGAGTCAATACTGAAGAACTGTGAAGTCCTTGGAAAGGTCTCCACTAACTTGGTGGGCTTCACATCAAACCCAAAAAATAGATCACAAACAAACTGCTATTTCAAAACAAATGTCCTGGAGAAAGGACACAGGGCCTGATATTTGTAGAGTCTGCAGTTCAGTAAAGCATCCATATTCAAAAAGGGCACTTACCATCTGCTTCTGTTGCAGTTAAGCATCTGTAAGGACTTAAATCTGATGCGTCTGCGATTTTCTGAATGGCCTTCTGGTTAAGGTACTATACTGGACTGTGGGGTCTGGGTTCAGTTGATTAGCACTGTAACAGCTATTATGAGGCTGGGCAGGTTCTTCAATTGCTTTGTACTATGGTTCCCTACTTTAAAATGAGAATGCGATTACATCCATTATCTCATCCCTTGTCTCTTTGTTTAGACGATAAGCCTAGGAATGATCTCCTAACATGCATACATACTGTTCATGGCCCAATTCAATGCTTCACAGCAAGCTCTGTAAAATACTAACATTAATCATAATTTGAAAATTAGCAATATAAAAGATGATAAAATATATCAAGTTTTCATTGCACAAGGCCCCAAGGCACTCTACCAACTTTAAGATAAACCCACTTAATTCCTCAATCGAGGAGAAGAAACCACTTTTAGAATAAGATACTGCAGCAAATGAACAGTGCACATGAAAGTGTGCGATTTTTTTTTTTTTTTTTTTTTAAAGGAAGCTAAAAAGTCTGCCATATCCAACTGAAAATACTTCAACAAGCATATTTGCTTCATCCGGATATATACCTTCATATACATCAATCATTTTCAAAGTAAGCCATTCCAGCTAAATATGGAGGCATAGTTAGAGCAGATCAAAGACTAGTGACTGATTAGTGATTCTGTCAACTAGCCATAGCTTTCTGCAGATAAGATTTCCTTTGGGTTTTGTCCAGCATATATATTTTGGCTTACCAAAAAAATGGAGGAATCAAAAACACTGGGAAAATTCTTTCCCAATGATTTGCTTTGGGAGTTAGGTGCCTACCAGCTGTTTGTTTCAGTCAAAATCACCACATTCATGATAATGTGAGTAACAAAGAAAGCAAGTATGAAAGAAAGACATACCTGTAGAGCTGAGTAGTTTGAAATTGCAGCATTATTCTAATGTTGATTTAGTACTTAATTGACAATTTATGAAGACATCCAAGGAATGTGGTTAGTAAGCCTGAGTTATTAACAGTACAAATAGCTGAGCTGTAACACAAGCCTTCCTTTGTGTATAATGTATTATTAAAACCACAGCTTTATTAGTACACTTATTTATTTTATTGAATGAAATTAAATAAAAAATACCACCAGAAAAGCCCAAAGAACAGAACTGACCTCCTCAAAAAAAAATCTGCAGTTATAAAGAGGACAAGCAGCTGCGACTCTGATTTATCTGAGGCTGGTGAAACTCACCCTCTGTTACAGGGTCTTAAAAACACTGAGTCTTTGCACAGCTCACATGTTGCACAGATGTGGAGAGGATCAATTTACAGCAAAGACTATGGGTGTAAGCCTTGGGAGAACAGAGCCACTGGGAGTTTTATCAAATCTAGTGCACTGTGATATACAGACACATAAGAGGGGGTTTTGTTGTTGTTTGGTTTAGATTGGCTTTTTTTTAAATGTAGTGAAGTTTCAAGTTATATATAAGGAAATAGGATGCCTCAGTTACACGTGGGAAGTATTGTAGATTTTCTACAGAAAAGCCAAGATAATGTGAGACTATAGCCAGCGCATGTTATATTTTAAAAGGCTTTGAAAACAGAGAAGGATAATGATAGGTATTGGTTTGTCCTTCTTGCCATTAGTATTCACACATAGAAATAATCTGCCTCAAGGGCAAGTTAAGAAATTCTAAAGGACCAGAAGGTAGTGCTAGGCCTATCTGATTGTCAGTATTCAGCCACAGTCCAGAAACAGGAGGATCCTGCCTTGCAGAATGGATTTCTACAGCTAACATGCCATTAATATTGAGTCAGAGCACGAAGTGAAGTAGCCCTATAAACTAGGCATATAATCCTCCTCCTCTGAGTACAAAAGGCAGCAAAAATCAATGACTGCCACTTAAGAAGTTACGTCTGTTATCTTGGAACTGCTCATCACTGGGAATGTACTAAAAAATTTCCTGTACGTAAAAACTAAAGGAACTAAGTACTGGAAGAGTGAGAATCTTTTAGATACAGCGTGCTGTATCCAATAGCAGAAATATTGCATTACTCCAACATAATAATTACAGAAAATTTCCACACTGTTGTATGATTGCTTTCTGCCAATGTTAATCCTGTTCTCATTACAAAAATCTCCCATAAGCCAAATTCTACTCCTAGCTACACTAGTTTGCCTCTGTTGCCACAGCTGAGGGCAGGATTTGGCTTGATTCTCTACTACTAATTTCTCTCTTCTTCTTCTTTTTTTTTTTTTTTAATTATTAAGTCCAGCCTCCATTACAAAGAAGCATTTAGTTTAAACATTAAAATTTTACTTGGTAGAATTACACAAGTCTGGGAGGTTTTGCATGCTACAAAGAATTTTGTTGCTCTAATCTTGAAATACATTTCATTCTTACGACTGAAACTTTGTGCAAAAAAGCACTCATCAGCAGATGATCTCTAAAAGTATTTCATTTTTCTCTTTCCTCCCTTTGCGTTTACTTCAGGCTAGTATTTGTGTACTAACAACAGAATACATTTAAGAATGAAAAAACATCCTTGTAGCAGATAAGAAATAAAGGCCTTCTGTATATCCAGATGCTCTATTATTCTTGGCATTGCTGTTGATACCTGCACCCAAGGTAATCTTGGCAGTAGGTAAATTCAGATATACACTATGTCTGATTGTAAAGTGAATTACCACAGATCTGAAATTTTGTTCATACATTCTGGAGTATGATGCAATGCAAATGGGAGATATAATTCTTTTGCATAAGTGTCACTGAAAGTTTAAATATTGTGGCATGCTTCTAAGTGGAAAATTGGATGCTTACTCAAATAACATTTTGCACTGGGTTTGGACTTCAGAGAAACACAAGTGAGAAAAGGAAGGAAAACAGAGATTTTATTAACAAATCAATGTATAATCATGCCATTAAATAACCCACTTTCCCATATATTCCATTTAATATTCCTGATTATATTTGGGCTGGAAACCCATATCCAATGATATAAACAAAATATCATCCTATGGTATCTTGCTGGAAAATGTAACGCCACCCAAACTAAACTCATGATGCCACAAAACACATTGTCTCGATGATAACTAGCTTCTCCGTCCCTCAGTCTCTAAGAGCAAAAGGGTTTCACTAAAAAACTCAATGCATTGAACTTCTATGAATATCTTATCTCCTTTTTTTTTTTTCCAAACTACTCACCCAGATTTATGAAGACTTTCGGAATCCTGCTCCCCAAAACTGCATTTTTCAAGTAAATACATTATTTTTAAAAACTATAATATGTAAAGCTGCACTACAAAAGAACCTGTATTTGTAGCACAGTCTGTAGTAGCACAGAACAAACCAATGGATAAGCAGGGAGGGATACAAAGCTCTATCACCTTCAGCCAATCACAGTCACATGTAGGAGGATTTTGAAGGACATGTCAGGCAATTAACACTGGATTTCCATCAGTGTTTTCCATCCTTCCCCATTTGGCACACTGTATGACAGGGAGGGGATGGTACCACACTACTGCTTGAGAAAAATCCATCTTCTCTTGTTTCCCAGATCCACGGCAAAGCTCTGGCCTCCTTGCTGTAGGGAGCCATGTGCCAAAAGCAGCTGGCAGGAGGATCACAAATTAGTTTGAGAAGGCAGCTGTGACTGGCACTTCAGGTTGTATAGTGAACACAGGACCTCACTGCTGCCCTAAACAAGTTAAAGGGACTGCTTGCAGGGAACAAGGGATAGCAATAACACAGCAAGTGTCAGATTATTTGTGCATATATGTATGAGAATTTTCAGAGAATGATACACATGCACACTTGAAAAAAAACAAGTAGAACAATACTAAATGAAATCCTACTATTTCTGGCTAGCACAGCTGATATTTAAATCTGATTTCTACTTTCTTATTTGACTTTTCTAGCCTGGTTCTCACTTACTCTTTTTGTTCAGGGATGTCTTCCAACAGCATGCAAAGAAAATCCTAGAAAATGAACAAAGCGCCACAATTAGTGTGTTTACGAAGACATAACTCTGTGTCTGCATTGCTAGTGAGCAATGGATTTTTAAAGACTGCAGATAACAGAATGATAAGAAAGAAGTTTATATATCCACTATGGTGATTTTCTGCTCAGTTATTTATACAACATACGTTATGTTTGTCAGTTTTCCAACCCACTCAAGTAAAAAGTGTCAATATTGAAAGAAAATGGGCTTGAAAAGCCTGCTGACTATTTTAACACAATCCCACATTCCCACTTTTATTTAATCTATAATATACACACACAAACTATATTTAAAACTGTTAAAGACTGCAGATTCACATACTCAAAGGCTAAGAAACACCAGAATTAAGGGTGTTTACACTCTCTCTACTGTGCTTATGTTACCACGCTGTCTTTAATTATATAACAACATAAGGCTTTTTTTTTTCCTTAATGCACATATCTGATTGGAAGATCCCACCTACTCCTCATTCTGTGACAAAATTCACAATGTTGCTGCCAACCACACCAACTAAGGAGTAAATTCTTCAAAGAAAAGGTAGCTAGAATTTCTTACATGGATTTACAAAGGTGCAATGCTAATGGAACACCATTACTATCATCCTCACTTATAACAGCATGATAAACCCTCTTGAGAAAGTTACATCTGACATTACTTGAAGGTTCTCTGGTACCACACACTATACATGACCCAATTTTAATGACAACCACTTTGACACAATGCACTCCTCTGAACAATCTCATAAGAAGAGGATTTATTAATATGCATTACTCATTTATATGCTATTTCATAAAGCAATACATCCACTTTATTAATACTAGTCTTTGTGGAGACAAGTTTCATAGGCTAATGATGATCCTCACTGCAATATATGAGGGCAGGCTGATTTCTGATTGCAAGTACTTGCTCCCTAAGGTCTTAAAGAAAGTTTCCTAAAAGGCAGAAAAGTTTTAATTAGGGACACCACCATGGCATTCAATGAGAGATGCTATTTCTCTGACTGATTATGGCATTGTTAGGGAATCAAAGAAAGAGTGATGGCAGCTGAAATTCCTGGTAACATGTTTAAGCCTTCCTCCTTTAGATTACAAGTGAGATTCAGGCTATGTTGCAGTGGCTGCAAAATTTGCTTACCACAAAAGGTAAATTACACAGTGCTGGGCTCAGTGTTGCTGTGGCAAGAATGCCATCATTAACTATACCAGGAGTTGTTCTGTCCTAACTACAGTGTACTGCTGACATCATGACAAAGCGTGAAATCCCCTTATTTCATACTACTGCTTGCAGTTCTGTACCATTATTCTATATGTAAACAGAGAACTACCATCTCCTTCCACCTGTAGAAGCTTTTCTGGAGGTACAAAGTAAGCTTACATAGAAATAAACACTATGAAAAGATCATCATTAGAGTTGTTTCAAGAGTGTGTGAAAAGTAATACTGAAGTGGTCATCCTTGACACTATTTGCACTGTCTCTGTATACATTAATGCAGCTAGATTCCCTGATTGGACTGCATCAACTTTTTATAATCAATACCACAGTGCACTTGAAGATACTTCTGGTATTACAAGTGTTTTTATATTCTGTATATTATACTATGAAATTAAACATCTCCTTTGTGATTAAAGCTGTCTTCATTTTTCCAAATACAGATTAAGAATAAGGCAGTAAGCATCGTTCTACACACTTTCTTACAATTAGGATTAATCTATTCTATCTTAAATGCTTCTATTTTGATGCTCCAAAACAGAGCAGGAAAACAAATTACCACTTACCTCATATTTGCATGGCTTTTAACATTTGCCTATTATCAAGTCTGCATGACACATCCCATTATAGGTCTGACTTTTCAGTTGCTTATAATTTCGCCAAACTTTAACCATCTGGAGTGAAATTTTATCCTCAGGCTATTTTTTCTTCTTCCTCAGATGAAATGGTTCAGAAGTGTTCAAGAGAAAATTTAGGGGATAATGCGGGTTTTTTTAAGCTTTGATGTCATTTCTTTCAGAGGTTCTAGTGACCTTACACTTTGAAGCAAAGACTTGTGGATGACCAGGGTAATCATAAATAAATGCTGAGCCAGATCAGAAAACAAATTATAGTTTGGTTTTTGTCTTTGTTGCAAGTAATTCAATGAAGCCAGAATGAAAATATGAGTTAGAAATCACATGCCACCGCAGTGCTGCATTATTAACAAACTGGCTTATATTCATATGATTAAATAATCTTACTTCCCTACATACTCTTGTTGTTCTTCCATGGCTAGCAACCCAGAGGCTAGAAAACAACTTTTCCCTATATAAAGAAACTGTTATTCTGCAGTTTGTGGAATTTTATTGACATTTGGCCAAACTGAAAAAGCCTTTGAAAAATGAGTTCACACACATTCGCTAAGGATTTGCGAGACCCTTATAATTAAATTTCCTAAAGACTCTTGTCTGCTCTCACCATAGTCCAGACTGAAGCCAACAATTTTAATCACAACTGCAACTCTGGGCTGCTGCTGAGCCAGATCAAATCTGGATACAGACTGTGAATTGAGATCAAGAAGAAGTTTTCTTTGCACTGTTAATGCATGTAGCATGTCTGAGTCAAAGGCAAAGAAAAGTGGGGACCCAATGACTGAGAAGTAGGTTGAAGGAAGTAATTTTAAGAACCCTAGGAATGAAGGCTACTTGAAGCAGTAACTAGACAGACCTGGGTTTAGAAGACCTTTTATTTCATGACTAAAGATGCTATATTATTACTTCAGTTCTTGTCTGAAGCAATGAGCAGCATGTTTCTACTCTTGAACTGTTTTAGGGCACCAGACAGGTACTTCTCTCTGACCACACGTGTTGGTATTAAATAAAGAACACTGAATATTAAAAGGCAAATTATATCCTCTTTACGAAAAAATCAAATCTAGATATTTCAAGTACTCTACAACCACCAGATACTTTCAGTTAAATTCTCTAACTCAAATATAAATAGGGTCCATAAAACCAATGGAGATTTCATGACTAAAAGTGATACATCTGAAAGGACATTCAGTTGGCAACAAATAAACAAATGCACTTACATCCAATTCCTTACAGAAATTACCCACTGAAAGTTAAACTATTCATATCAATTATGCAGTTTGTAAATGACATAACTAAATGGTAAACATTACTTTGTCCCTTTTGGGTGGAAAAATAAATAATGAACACCCTTGCTAGGATCCTGTTTATTTGAAATTCCGTCCTTGTTCATCTTCCTGGCTTTTATTTAACAAAATCAGCAACATGTTGAAATCCTTCTCTTGGGGTTTTGGTAACAAGCCTGGAACGCCCCTTCAAAGATGACAACTTCCTATCAAGAGTAAGCAAGACTCCCCAGCTATATGTTCTATTATCAGGCAGCAATCATTAGCCAGACAGCTTTAACAGTTTAAGCCCCAGGTGACAGAGCCTCTGACTAGCTCCAGTCAAAAGCAGAATTTGTTGCCCATTTACCCCATATGCCAATGAACTGCATTCAGATCACTAGCAATTCCCTAAAGAAAAATGACCAGCTATTCTGACAAACAAGAAAACGTAACACATAGGAGGATCTAACAAGATTTTCTGGTAAATCTTCTTATGGATATTCAGGGTGATATCAGTCCCCTGGATGGCCCTTCCCCGGGGCCGGGGTTATTGTCCCTGTGTAGCACAGCAGCAGAAGGTCTCCCTGCCTGAGCCGCGCAAATTCACAGTCCAGTGCTTTCACAGAACTTTGTAAACTGTCCATACTAACAAGACTGAATTTGTCCTCTTAGTTACTGTGTGAATAACTAAGGGAAGCAAGTCTTAAATCACCCCAGCTGTATTAGCAAAAGGGCTTCTGTCAGAGCCCCAGCTTTCACAAAAATAATCTTTGTACATGTATAAACACCTCTGAGGAGGTAAGTCCATTCAGGGACCATGTAAGTTGGAAAAAGTATATTGACTTGTCACTTAATTCACTGAACAAAGTGTTGGCATTCCTCCTTACCTTATTGATGGGAAGGTTCAAACTAGATCCCAGGCAGGTAATTGAAGGCATGTAGCTTGAACACACCTTCTCCTAATGCTTTGACCCCAGAGCCTATGTTGTCTCAAACTCACTTGAAATGTTTTAATTTCTTCAGAAGTTACACAAATTCTCCCTGCCCACTAAAAATGCTAAATATACCACCACCTAAAATTTGATTTAAACACAGACTCATTCTATTTTACATGTATAAAACTGTAAGAACACACATATATACCTAAGAAAAAGATGAGGAACTAGATTTGTTATGTATCAATGGTTCTACATAGAGCTCTCAATCATTCTTTGGACTTCTGTTTAAGACTATCCAGCAGAAAATCATGTAAGATGCATTTGACTCTGATTATTTTAAAATACATCTCACTAAATAAAACAAAAGCTGGAGCTGTGATTTGGCACTGATAAAACCCATATACTTTGGGAGTGCTCCCTTGTCAGTTTGCTCTGGTCAGAATTAAGGACTTCATCTTTTTTGTTATCAAATGATATTGCATAACAAGCTACCATATAATTTTAAGCTTGAAAGATGCTAAATGGAAGCTAAGCAAATACAATAACTTTAGGTCAGCAGAGGAGTGAGAGACTACTGTAACAGAAGTGGAAATGCAAAAAGGTACTCCACAGCTGAAGACTGAAGCTCAAGACTTAGTAAGTTCAGCAGCTATGGGAAGGATCTGTGTACTTTATCAGAAAGTTCCAAGACATTTTCAGATATATGGGTCACTTCCCTGATAGAAGACAATTATATGTGTCACTTCCCCAGTAGAAGACAATTATATGTGTAAAACTTACTGATTCTTTTAAGATCTTTACACTTGAGATGATACCAAAAGATATTTGCCTTTTTTTTATGCAACTATACTATTGGGACATTAAAATGTGTGACACATTATCAGCTGTATTATACATGACTATGAAACACCTGGGCTCCTTTTAGCTTCACTACTCTGCTTTCTTCTCCAATTCCATTTCTAGCACTACTTCATTCTGATCTCTGTCCTTTATGATACGCAGTTTCTTATACAATTATGAAAAAAGTATATCAGAAAAAAGTTTTCTCACCCCCCAAAATCTTGCCTTATACCATGTTAATAACTTCTACTAACCTAGTCTTAATTATAATCCAAGCACAATATTTCAAATGTTCCTTCTTTCAAGATACTTGTAGTGAAATAGAGATATAGCCTAAAGCTTGTGAGATTTTTATATATGAACACAATGGATTGTCAAAATATGCAATGTAATTAACTGATCCATACATTAATCAATTGTCACATACATAAGTGTTTTAAACACAGTTAATCTCAGGTTAAAATATCTGACCTAGTGAAGCAGTCTTTTTTAATGCCTTACACTTGTTAAAACTTAAAAAGTTGAACAGAAGGAAAAGCATACTGTGCTTATGAACAATGAACAGAGAACAAAATACCACGCAGCTGCTTCATATGAGAGCAATACCTATTCTACATAAATGAGGCAAAGGTCTTTGGAAAAAAAAAAAATAAAAGGATGGTGATCATGTAGTAATTAAAGGTTGTTTCATAATGCATACCTATAAGGAAAGTGAATGAAGGCTGCGTCGTGCACAGCTAACAAAAAAGTAGGAATATGTGCATTTATGCAAGAATTGGAACAGGAAACTAACGCAATCTGAGTAAAACTGACCCATCTATTTCTGTTTTCCAAGCACATGAGAGTGTAGAAAGCAAAGACCCCTGTCCTAGAGGCTGCTGTGGATGGGACAGCGCCAGGGTCCATACCATGCCTCACTGATGTCAATAGTTCTTTGCTCAAGCTCACAGGTCAGTAACCATGGAACAGATGGGGCTAAACCGCAGAGACAAATTTTTAGTTAAATCTTTTATCTAAATAATAGATTCTATAGGTTGAAACATCAAAATATATGCACACTGCATGCTTAGACTTTCAATTCTAGTTACAAGAGTTCTACAACTTAGAAGTTCAACAAGATAGTTGAATGGTGATTTGTGTGTGCCGATACCAATTTTATAAAATTATGACAATGGTATGTGCCCATGCAAATTGGTGTGCAGGAACATGTTGATATAGGTACATTCACAGTGGGCTTGGATCCATACGTCTGCCTTTAAAACTTTTAATAGCATAAATTATGATTTTTTTGAAGCACTGCCTCCTTGACTGTCATTTTACTGTAGCAAATTATAACTCTATCAGATGGAGGAACACTATAGACCTTGGGTTACTATTACAGCAGACAGAACTACATGAAAATTAAAGTCTGCAAACAATTCAATTCCCAAGGTGTTCTTATTTCAATATCAGACCGAACAACAGCTTTAACTGTGTTAGGAATATCAGCAACTTGCACGCCTTTCTGTTTATTTATAGTCAGTAGCACTCCATTCATTATTTTAAGAGTTCATTCAGAGCAGTTAGTAAATGAATTCTCTCACAGAAAGAAAAATGCAAGATTTTTTAAAATCCTTCTCAGAGATTCCAGACTTGCTTTACTTGTCTGTTGCTAACTCAACTAAAATAAACAAAACCTACTATTAAAAACATACTGAGCATGCAATCAAAATGAAGGAAAAAGGCAAACTGATTAATGTTTCACATCTGAAGTCATTTCCTTGCACCTGCAGCTCCCATATAGGAAAAATACTACAAACACCACTGAAAACAAGACTAGTATTCAGAACATGGGCAATTATTTTCACTGTTTTTACCTTCCCTCGTCCCCACAACTCCTAAAGCTGGGAACTTTTACAATTATTTTGGACAAGGTGAAAGTACAACACTATGATATTTAAATGTACCATTTGCACCTCCATTTATTTTAAATTTTTTACTAATTTAAACACTGACAGCACGTTTGTTGAAGAAAGAACTTGAATAATAAACTTTGTGCTAACTTGACTTCATTGCTTCTGCATTTGCAAGTCCTGCTGTGATTGCTTATCTACCTATACCAGACACCGACATAAATACAATCTTTAAGATTTCTTACAAAGAAAGTAAATGCATTTACAACTGGATATAGTCCTATCCCCTTTGCATTTTTAACATAGCGACCAAACAACAGGATGATGGTAAAATTCTCTTCCCAGAAACTTTGATGGGAGCTGGATTTAGGCTGCTGTGAAACAAGGTAAAAGCACAAAAAGCACACAGTAAAAGTTACATAGTACATAGCTCTTTCTCCACCAAATCAAGTATCTTCAACTGAAGGAAAGTATCTTTTTTGACCTACTTTAAGAACATAGCTATGGATATATTGCACATATTCAAATAGAAAGTAGCCTAAGAAAGCCGAAATAAAAGCATCACTTACTCTTGCTTGAATAGTTAAAAACTGAACAATTTTTTTATCCAATAACCAAAATGGTTGTTTCTGGGTGCAGAAACAACATATAGTATTTCATCTTATGAGACTGGAGTTAGGTTAAGTTGCAAACTGACATTTCATAGCAGAGTGCTGGACAAAGGCAGAAGTCTGTAGTAGATGGGTAGTTCATTTGCAATGCAATCTAGCTATCATGACTAATAGTATAATGTGCTAAGACATTTTGCGGTCTACTGGCTCAACTCATCTCACATCAACCAGGAGCAACAACCTGACTACTTCTCACCAAAATGCAAGCACCTTTCCTACCACCAGATTAAAATATTGGGCTGCTTCTTGGTTTTAGCAGTTTCATGATTTCTGTGATTTTCAAAAAGTTTCCAGCTGTGTAATAGTAAAGTGTCATATTTATGATCTTGGACACCATAATGTAGACAAGACTCATATAGTCACTGGCATTTTCCACACTATGCCAAACATAACTGGTCAGAGTCTCAGAACCACGGTACAGGAAACAGCTGCAGCAGTGGAAACATTAACTCCCTTAACACCCCAAAAGTTCCTCCACAGGGCAGAGCTGCTGCAGTAGACCTACTATGCCTAACGCCTGGGTGACTTGACATACAGAAGAATCCACAAGTCTGTGAGCTATTTGTAAAATACATGGGCATACATCTCACCCTGTAAGACTGAGATTCAAAACAGCAAGCACACGAGCAAAGAATCACTGTGGCTGGAAGAAACAGGAAAGTGTTAGAGCCCATTCCCTCAAAATCAGAAGCCCTTACTCTGTGTTGCAAGGAGACATTTATCACCATACTGAATCCCCTCAACGATTTCAACCATAACTCAAGAAAAGACAGAGTTCAGCAAAAAAACTTGTTTCAGAAATTCAGTTATACCTGTTCTCTCTTTTTCCCTGCCCCTCACTCTCATCACAGTGTTCTTCTAGCGATGCCAGATACTTGTCATATCGTTCCAGGCCTGTTTTTAACTGTGAGTTCAGTCACCTGGTTCACAGACACCTGCATAAACAGTTTTTTCACAGCATTACCGAAGCAACAAGCTGCAGTGCCACAGCATAATCTGGATTCATCACCAATGACAGGATTTCCTAGAACTTTGGGTTTGGAGAGCTATGTCATTCCCTTCTCAAAACAAGACACTGGAGGACAAGACAGTCTCCCTTTTAATGCTACAGCCAGTGGTTACAGGACTTTTTCAGAAAGACCTAGGGGGAGGTAAATTTCTATTTATAACCTCAGCTGGGTTCTCTGTGTAACAGATGGTAGAATACACTGTGGTGTGACTTGATCAGTCTTTCCTTCTGAAGCTGTTCTACTTTGCATGGAATAATTATACACCATTTCTGACAGGAAGAGAACAAGCTAAGTCTGTAGTTCAAGTGATTAATACATGCAGTTGGACTTAGAGAGGGCAGATTCTGATTCCCAATTCAACATTACTTTTTACAACCAAGCCTCCACCAGTCCAGGAAGAAGTACTGTTCTATGAGAACAGCTGCTCTTCAGAGTGGGCTGCCACTGCATGATATCACTGTCAGAGAAAGTCTACTGAAAGAAAGAAGCAGCACATCTTCAACATCCCTTGCAGATTAATAATTCAGTTACAGAACGCTTTAGAAAGCATGGAAGTACGGACCATGACGAGGAAACCTATACGGAGGCTGTGACAAGACTGTAATACAGGTGGGTGCAATATCACAGAGTGATGGGGACATCACTCTCTGACTTGGTGAGAAAGAAACCGTCCTCATAAGAAAGACTATGAAATTATAAGCATTGAATGAAGCAGCATGCAGAGGCGAAGGAAACAAAGTCAGAAATGTCATGTACATGCACTGTTATAATTTATAGAAATTTTCAGTTACATTCCTACTCTGTGTTTTTTCTCTATCAGAAACAGAGAGGTATCAGGGAAAAGACTGATTGATCACAACCAAAACCCATGAGCTAAAAAACTACAGGAAACAATTCCAGCATGGTAAATGACCCTATCTTTGAGAACATCAGCACCTATGAACATTGACCTTCCAAAGCATCAAGTTAAAAAAAACACAATACAACAACAACAAACCCCCAACACCTATTGTTTACATTATCAGATACCAGCAGGGTGTCCAATTTATATATCACCCTGAAAGGAAAAGTCAGCCTTCTAGCAGGTAGGAATTTCACCAATATTGCCAAGTTACAACTGCCTCTGTCTTTTCACCACAACCAGAAGTGGTGACTTACATAGTGAAACCCAAAGTTTAGGTAATTTGTTTTTTCAGAAAGTGAGGAACAACCCCAAGAACAGTACCTGAGAAAGGACAAGCTGCCCATGGAACTTATGGACAAATTTTCGTAAAGATGCAAGGTATGAAGCCTCTCCTATTGTCCTTGCCAGAGACCGCAAAAGGAAATAACCCTGCAAGAAATTAAGCCAGAAACAAATAGGATGCTATGAATTTGCTGATGTCTAGAAGAAAGAAGTCTTTACCATATTAGTAAAGCAATTTCAATAAAAATCAGCTGACAACACTCACCTTCAAATAGTGAACCTGCATGAAGATTTTTTCTGCTTTAAGACCATGTTTGACAACAGATGCTCCAGACTCACTCAATTCTCCTGTGCTCTCCTTTTTGGGCCTGAAACGGTAACACACTAATTAAGTCTTGAATAAGCAAGTAAAGAAAAAGGGAAGGGGAATGGGTCATTATGTTCAACTAGAGATTTCTCTTCTTATACCTGAACATTGGCTTAACAGCTTACATGAATGTACTTGCAATAACATCCTTCATCTGCATGCAATACACTACAGAAGAAATAATGTTCTGCTTTTCATTTTGCTGCTTGGGGTTGGAAGAGAAGTAGTTGAAGTTTTAAAAGAGGAAGCCTTTCACACACACACAGAGGTTTGGGTTTTACAGAAAATAATGTCTAGAACAAACCTTCTACTTCACTGTCTGATTTTAAAATGTAATACAGCATCTGATGTGCCACTAATCCACAGCAGTAAAGTGTGGAGGACTTCTAGGCTCTTATGAGCACAGAGTGAAACTAAAGAGAAGCTATGCGAATATTTTTTCTTCATTTGGAAGCAGTGCCTTCACAGGCATAGTACTGAAGAGCCCTCTAGCTTTTTTTTCTTCCCTCCAGAAAACATCCCAGCTAACAGTGGTCTGAGAAAAGATGTCTGTCTTAGGAGCCTAACACTGTGACTGAAACAACCTCTCCAATTCTAAGTGTGGATTTTGAAATGGGCAGTTTTGGAAACCAAACATCTTTTCCCTCACTTCTACAGAATAGGGGCAACAGAGGCCACAGCAGTGCAGGATTCTTCAAACCACATCACTCATACACTTCTCATGAGCTAATCCCTGTGATCAAATTTCTTGCATATCTATGTCTGCTTTGAGGAAAACACTCTTCCTTTTTTGTATCTGTGTAATAGTTTCCTATCAGAGTTTTGTCCAGAGTGTTAAGCTGTTCCCCCCCCCCCCTTTAGTCACTGTATTTAGGGCCTGTGCACATGAAAACCACTTCATAGTAAAATCTTGATAAAATATAACTATTTAAAATAAAACAGGGAAAAAATGCAGATTCAATTTCACACTGTTCCTAACACAGTCCTTTATCGTGCTATAGTCCATATTTTCTTTCAAGGAAGATATTCCTTCAACATTGAAAGGAGGAGATCCATGACTGATTTCTTATCCTATGTTAACTCCAGTTCTTCAAGACCATGTAATCATTGCAGACCCACTACACGAGAGAAGAGGTCCACCTATTTCCATTCTGAGTCAGCCTCCTGGAAGGAAGGCCTGCTGGCATTTCATTTGCGACTTTTCATTGTTATCTGCATATATAAAAAGCCAAAACTGCTTCATTTCTCTCATAATAAATAGCCCAGTCTATAGATTTTGAAAAATGGAGTGCAAGCACAGGCTACAGGATCCACAGTAAACTGAAATACCTCCCATAATCACAATTATTCTAAATTACACAACCATACTTCCTTCCTTCCTCTTCCAACTTTGTGCCTGTGTAGATCCTAGTAGGTGACTAGAAAGCAATATCCCATCTGGATGATGGTACTGAAGAACTTCCTTCTGCAAAGGATGTATATGTACCCCTGATACTTTCTACAAAAGAGTGTAAATATTCATAAAGTTACCCTGTTCTCTGCTGTCAGTACTTCAGCACACTATTTTAAAGCAATGCTTACTATATTTACAACACATTGAAAGTACAGAGACTGAAAGTTTGTTACACTGACCTACAAAACCTGGCATCTAACCTAGTAGATGAAACTAGGCATAATGCTAAAGGCAAGCTGATTCAAGGTATTCAAACTGCTATGTGGCACATTTTAGATACTGGCAAATTTCTGAACAAAGTAAAAGATGCTGCTTTGTTTGCTGGGTGGCAAAGTACATTGTACAAAGTGAAAGTACAACTCACCAGGAAATCCTTGGTAATTAAATGCTCTGATGCCCTAGGTAGTCCTGAAAACCTCTATAAGAGACCATCTGAAAGGCATGTATCCTATCAGTGTGATAGAACAAAACTCTTTAAAAATGTACAGAGCAGTGAGAGACCGTTGCTTCAGGAGGGAAATGGACTTTGACTCAAGTGGAACTCAAGAGTTTAGATATGAACACTGGTTTGTCTTAATGAAGAATCACAAGCTGAGGTTCAGTCATAAGGGCTAGGACATGAAACAATCTCAACACCAGCTTTATTCCACAGAACAAAATGGACTTCTCTAAGCTTCTTTGCTTTCGTAACATGAGAGACTGGATGAGAGTGCCAGTGTTGATGCTTGCCAGCAAAATGAGTGCCAGGATATATTTCACAGGTGCTTTTATCCCTGCAGGTGTGCTTCAAACTCTGTGAGAAAATACATAGGATTCTGTCTGAATTATCCTGTATGAGCACTACAGTGCCACAGATTCCTTCTTCAATACTAAGATTTGCGGGTGCTGCCTTTCAGAGCTGCTGCCTGCTGAAAAGACACTTATCTCTTTCATTTAATTTCATTTCATTTCACATTTCTTTCAGTTCTTTTCACAGGTAGCTTATGGGATGCTACTATAACATAACCTCAAATATCCATAATAACAAGAAACATCATGCTGATGACCAGTTTGACAAGTGGCTTTCACCTAGTCTGAAGAGGTATTCGTCTGCGGGATCAAAAGTTAATAGGATCAGCTGACAAGGTTTGGGCAGGGTTTTCCTGCTGTCAGGAGAAAGCACAGAAAATCATATGATCATCCAGCAGGGAACAAAAAAAGTATTTGAGGAATAAGCTTATGCTTAGGAAGAGTGCATTGGCTGATTTTTTTTCTTCCTGATTTAATTGGTAAGAAGTAACAGACAGTTATTTACTTTTAATGTCCTTGTATAAAAACACAAGCTTGAACTAGTGCAAGCCTCAGTACAGACTCAAAACCCAGTGCAATGCCAAGACTGAAATTTTCTCTCTTGTGTATTGACTCTAGAAAGCACATGGACATACTTTCAGAAGGAAGAAGAAAATTAAAAAAAAAACACAGTAAACATGCAAAGAGAGAACCTATTCAAGTCCATGCCACAAAAATAGTAGAGAATATTTACATCTGACTGAAACCAGTGGAGAGTCCTTAAATGCAACCATAGGAAACTAGAGACATCAGAGAGGAAGAGATTGCCAGAATCCCAAGCTGGCAACATGTTCCTCTCCTGAAATGTATATTAGAGGCATATTTTTTCAAATGAGTAAATGATTTGTCATTCTTTTGTATTAGCATTGAGAATACCACTATGTAAAACATAAGCAGCATGCTTATTACGGACACTTATGTCCACCAACAGTGGAAGTCAATAGAAAGCTTAAGTTTCAATTTCAGAATAAATCAATCTTTCCTGAGTTTCAAACTACAAAGGATATTTAGGGCCCTAGACAAATGATTTTAAAAATTTACATATACACATTTTATTAAAAGTAACAACTACATAATTAATGCAAAAGACAACAAACCTGATTCCATAATGTTGAAAACGGAAAACACACATCCAGATAAGCTTCATATCACATGAACCAATGTTCCTAAAAATAATTTATTTTAAAGCAAACAAACAAAACTCCCAGCATCTGTCAATCAGTAGTTGTGCTGGGAACAGCTGTATGACAGCTAGTGATAAAGCTTGCTTTTGTATTTACACCTATCATCAAAACGCATACTTGCAAATGTGTAACTTCACTGACTGCTTACATGTAGGATATACAATTCATCGATAAACATGAAGTAAAACAGTTATGCAGTTGATGACATGTTTTCAGATGACATGAGGCCAGAGAGGAATTTATGTGTTGGTGAACAGTCTCTAATGCCCAAATGTAAAAGGCTTTTAGGCTTACTGGGAAAGCACAAAAAGAAGGGAAGACCTCAAAATGAATGAAATGGCAACAGTCTTCCAAAAACATTTAAAAGTTGATTATTTAGAAGAAGGGGATCAATTTGTTCTTCACTTCCCCTTGGTAAAAGAAAAGAAGAAACCTCCAGTATTTGAAATAAACAATATTTCAACTGTGCATTAGGAAGCAATTTTTAACTGTTAACCCTAAAACAGCTTAGCTAGGTACTGTGGAAACTTTTTTACTGGAGGTTTCTAAGAGCGTGTTAGTAAAAACTTGCTTAAGATGGTCTGTGTATACTGCCTGTATTTCAGGGTAGGAGAGTGGTCTACATAATTTCTTGAAATCCGTCCCTGCAATTCCATGATTTGGTCAGTGTAGGCCTAATTTGAGCTAGGATTAGTAAACGTGTTTTTCTTGGTCAAAGACTGTGGGGAGACAAGCAGCAGTGGTGTTAGGCAGTCATTCAAGATAAAGGACTATGGCAAATTCCCAACACACAATCAGAACAGCGTAGATTATTAATCATTAGCAAAGCAAGAATCTTTTTTTGATCTAATGTCTTTAGCTACATAAGAAGAAGCCTTCAGCTCAGCATCTGGTACCTAAAGTCCCAAATCTTATTTAAATATTATCATTGTTAGTCATTTCTAAAGAGAAAGTAGATTTATATAGTTCATTATGCTTTTTCCTTTGTTTTTTAAAGTTTCATTCAGCTTGGCCATTAGATACCATACTCCTGTATGTGCTTGTCTTCAGCCACAGAAAATGAATCTGTTACGGCTTCAAACACTGAACTTTGCTCAGGAAACGGCCTTTTCTTTTTCCCTGAATAGAGGCTCTTGTAAAGTGCTTAGAGACATTTTATATCAAACTAAATCCCATGATTTTTGAAAGCTTTCTATAACAAAGAGAAAAGCAATTGCATTATACAGAAGATGAATAACCTAGTCAATTTAATTTGACTTTTCTTTTTTCTTCAGAAGGAAATAAGGAAATGCAGTGGATTTAATCAGATGATTTGGGTGTATATCCTTTGAAGAGAGAAAATGGTGGAAAACAGGAGACAGAGAACATGCAAAAGCGAAGATTACACTGTCATATTGTTACCTTAAAACTTGCAGCTCTTCTTCAGAGTTCTGCACCTCATCTCTGAGTCGGCGCCAGCGAAGTAAAGCTTTCAATTCCTGCTGCCCTTTTACTTCATCATGTGACAGCTGCTTAGTATACAAAAACCACAGATCACTGATCGCTGTTTCCCAACAGAGAATAATTTTCAGAAAGAAAAACTTGTTTTGTTTCCCTTTAATGTGGAGAACATGCAGGAAACAGTACCAGTATCCACGATTTAAAAAAAAACAAACCCAAACCATAAACAACCCATAACCAAAAAATATCAGTTGCCGCTATGAGAGTTAATAGCGGCACTAAGCAAAACAGAAGCCTCACTGTGCACATCAAATCAATAGTCAGTTAAATAGTTCTGCCTGAGGAGAGAGATGGGCATGTTTTCCCTTTAGTGACTGGCAATGAGTGAACTGAACATACAGTACAGATACCTGGCATAGGGGCTTTGGTTACATCTTTACTCTTCCCAGCTTGGAAGCAAAGAGCTGCTTTGTGTCCAGACTTCACTGCTCTTCCCTACTACTACTGCCACACTCGTGAAAGCTCCCTGTTGTATTTCCCCCCATTTACATAATATTAACAGAAATAAATGTCAGGTTGTCAGCTTACAAATGACTACTAATTTATGCTTCTGTATTATAAGAAAAGATGGAACATGGGAGAAAGCAAAAGCAGCTAATATCGTGCATTACACCAATATTTCAGTCACAACTGAAATTATTGTCAGGCACTATGGAATATACTCATAATCCTACAACTGTACAATTGCACAGCACCAAAACTACTCAATAGGTCTAAAAAGGAAAAGAAAAAGCAATTTTCTGACCTTATAAATTAACAAGGGCACTAATCACCCTGTTCTGTTGTTTCCTCCTTTCCATTCAGCTACATGGAAGGGTGTCTACTATAATGAAAATGCTTTCAAGTGACTCACAAAAGCATAGAATTAATGTGAACAGCTCACAGCAGAGGAGTGAAGCTCAGTGTAAGGGCGGCAGTGAGTTTTAGGACCAGAAGGGAAAAGCAAATTGTTTGGACAGCCTTCCTCTCTTTCTTGTTCCAGAAACATGGTAAGTGACAAGGAATTCTGTTTTGTTTGGTGCTATAAATATGCCTGATACTTAATAAAATGGAGGTTCAGAAGAGTATATGATGTCAGTTCCCATAGCCATCTGCTCTTCCACAGATGAAGCTCTGCAGACTTAAGGGGTAGAACCATGGCCTGACAAAAGCACAGGAAAAAAAATCACTAACGCACAAAATGCTTGTGGTAGCAGAGGTACAACAAAAATACAAATTGGATCACAAAACCACTTTACTAGCTGATATGCAGCTTATGAGCTTTCCACTTTAAGGCAGACAATGATTTCTAAGCCTCTGATATGACAGTAACTCTTGCTAGGCAGTATAAGAGGAAAAAAAGTTTAAGTGCTGATGGCCATTTCATCAGCTTCCATTTTGTTCTGAGTACGCTTCTTGGCTGTCCACTGGACAAAACCAGACCATTTTCATTAGGTACCTGCATATTACAATATTCAGTAAGACTCTGCTGATTGCTCCAGTTTCAGGAACACAATACAAGTGGAAGGAATGCAGAGCAGCTGTTTGACAGCTGAATTTTAATAACTGAGTAGTACGTTTGTGGAAAGGTAATCATTGACAAACAGATGTTTCCATTCTTATTTGCACTGACCTCTACCTCTGTAAAGATTAGTGTTCCTTGTGGATCAGGAAGGACTTTTATTTTAATTTATTTTTTTTAAAAATCAAATTAGCATGCAAATTCCAGTATTATTTTAAAAGACTTATCTTCATAACACAGGAGTTATAATTTATATCTAATTCACAGCGGGATATATAATTTTGATTTCCACATAATTCAATTGAGAAGTGATGTATCATCACCTTACCTGTTGTGCCCTAGCCCAAAATATATCTTCTAAAAAAGTGGCAAACCCTTCACTTATCCACTCTTCAGTCCAATCACGAGCACCAATGGCTAGTCCAAACCAAGCATGAGCAATTTCATGGCACAGACGTGTTCCACAGAGATGGCTCCCTCCTGGTAGTACACTCTGTGACAGGAAGATGATGTGTGGGCTGCACAATAGGAATGAGTGACAAATACATTATTGACCTGTTAAAACATGCACTGTATTGCCATAATAATATATAGGCTTTATTAGCCTTGTCAGCCTCTTATTACTATATGCATGCTAGGTCATGACTGATAGTTTATAGCTCAGGCATTTTTAGGAATTAGGTTATACTTTATTGTTGGTTGGCAGAAAATCAAACTAAAATTCTGCCAAGTAGTTGTTTTGTATTCAACCGTCAAACAGCTATTACCTGTAAGAAGTAACTTAAACCAAAGTTTTATATTTTTCAAATTACAAGACTTATTTATTTCAATAGAAGCATTTATATATAAGCCAGGATAATAAAAGATGAGCAGGTGCGTATATAGGCAGCAAGTATTTATCAGTTAAATGATCAAAGCTGGAAATAAATAAAGCAGAAACATTTTATACAGAAAACAAATCACTATCCAAAAGCAACAAGAGCCATGTATAGTAAAGCACAAGTGCTTGTTAAAACTTAAAACAAGCTAAAAAGATACCATCTGACAATAAGAGTTAATAATTTCTGCAAATGCAGAGGAAGGAGAACATCCTTTACCACAAGCACAGCAGTGAGAAGGAGACTCGATATTTACTAAATACCCACTTTTCACAACAGGGGAGAGAACAGCCTAATCTGTACCTACTCTGCTCTGGACTCAAGTATTGTAAAAAGAAATTGGGGGCAAAGAAACCTGTTAGGAATTATTGCTCTGCTGTTAAAAACATTTACACTGAATTGCAAGTTACTGCAGTTACCAACTTATGTTCTGCTGGAAGGCAACTTCGGCTGTGCTTATAGACATTACAGATGCTAACATCTCAAAAGTTACATAATTTTTGAAAGTACATCTAGGAAAGAAAAGTAGCAGAATGAAGCCCTCTGACTAACATGCAAGGGATTAACAGGGCACCATACCACAGGCAGGAGTAGCAAGGGCACAAACCAAGACCACCATCTGCAGAGTATTCCTGCATTAACACTCAGCATCCATAATCTGCATGTCAACTGTTTTCTCAACTCCAGCCAGTCAGAAAGGAAACAAGGCACAACGGTAATACCTTCAAGTCCACAGGTCTTTAAAACTAAGTCTAGCCTTCCAAGCACGGGAGGGGAGCGCATGGCCTCAAGACATTTCCAAGAGTCAAATATTATTAGTCAGCATTCCAAAGAGCTTCCCCACCCGCCCTACCCTTCCGATTGAAATGTTAAAACACCCACAGTTTTCTTGCAACCAGTTGAATGTCTGGAACACAGACCATAAAATATGATATACACTTAAATAGAAAAACATACTCAATAACCATCTCCTTATAAAAAAATAATAGTCATCCAGCAAAGCAAGTGAATACATTTTAATCAGTTGGCATTGTAAGAAACAATGTAAGAAATTCAAGCACTAGTAGAGGAATCAAGTCACAGAGAATAAAGCAAGAAAAAACAGCAGCTCTCCAAATCTTTGCCAAAAGCAATTCCAATTAAGAGAAGTGAGAGAGGAAGAGATGGGGGGAAAAGTGCGAGCGCAGAAGCTGCAGAACATGATGAACCTTTTATTATAAAGCCCCTGATGAGAAGAATAACCGCAGCTTTGGTGGTATTACTTTGGTCAGTTGTAAGGAAATGACCCCTAACTGTGGCATGTGTACACTGCTACAAAGAAAAACTGCAGAAATGGACCAAATAAATAACATTCCAGACATACTGCTGGCAGCCTGTCGGCCACTTGGTTAACCAAAACAAAAGTAACTCCATGCCTTATAAACAGGCTCACAGAATGGTTTGCATTTTAAGTCTACCATAGGTAAATACACAATAAAAGTAAAGATTGTATTTCCTGCTTTTTCCAATCACTTAAATAATAGAAATGCCACATTTGGACAATCTTCTCCTCTATAGAAGGACTACAAATCACTTCAGTGAGAAAAATGTGTATGAGTTAAATTTTGGCCAAAGAATAAGAATACAACTTCCTAAGAGGCCAAAAATAAGATTATGTGCTGCAGTAGAATTTTAGAGTCTAAGTACAGCCAGCAACTTCCTCACCTGAGAACACCTTAAATAATTCCTTTTGTTTGCCCTTAACAAGCAGCTATATCTACAATTCAGAGCCTCATATAGCAACAGATACCACTACAGAGCAGTGCAAAGCTCCCATTTATCTTAAGAGTAATTTTATCAAAGACTGAACATGTTTCTGTAATATGTCCAGCACCTATTAGTTTGGGGAGAAGTTTGAGTCTATGTATTATTTCCAATACATGCTTGACTTCCAGAAACTCTGCTCCACCCCTACTGATACCAACTAATCTACATTTTTTTACATCATCTAGGATGTGCAATGTTATTCATTGCACACTGTTCCTATCACTGTTGTTCCTGAAACACTCAATAATTCAAGCAAGTGCCTATGTGAAAAATAAGATAATCAGAATGATGATTAAATTGCAATAGCCAAAAACTTTTCTTTTTAACCAGAATAGGAATTCGGTCCTCCTACCATCCATTTGATTTACTAGGAAAAAATTATAAGGCTTGATATCAGTTGCTTTCATTGGAATTGAAAAGAAAAGAAATCCATTAATACACTAGGAATGGACAAAAATTATTCACCTCAGCAATTACATGAAGAACTGACAAGGTATGTGCAGCTTATAAATGCCTCTAGCTAATGACTTTTCAAGTCTGGCCCAAGTTTCTAAAGCAGGCCAGAACAGGCTAGCTGGATATGGTAAGGAAGATGGGAAACCTCTCCCAGTCAGCAGAAAAAACAAAAACCCCACCAGCCCTTCCCAGCAAGCTGGACAAGTTCCCAATGGCTCTTACAGAAAAAGAAGTTAATGACTTGTTTTCAAGAAGTATACATTTTGTTACACTTTTAAAGCAAAAAGTTATTATTCTGACCACCCTCATAACTTAGATCTTTGTACCATTTGACTGAAAGAAGGAGCAAGTTCCCTATCCCAGTTAAACTGCAGTCAAGGGTAATCTCAACACTGTAACTATGGTATGAATGCATATGAAGGGAAAACTGAGCTCCAATGGGAAAGAAATTTTTGGTGTGAAAGGCCAAAGCATCCTGATGTTCCAGTCATCCAAATCCACCCATGTAGATGTTCTTAATAAATGGTCTCTTTAACAAATAAAAGATTTCCAATGAGTCTTAGAGCTCTGAACAGTGGCCTGACCAGTTCAGAGGCCAGATCTCTGAAAGCAGTTTTGCAAAACTTTCTCTCCAGACTTACAACTTAGATGCAGATGCTGCTTTGCATGCAGGCTGCAGCAGTGTGCTATCTTTGGCTGTCTTTGTGTTTTGACACAAAACCAGATGAGACACATGGCACAACTCTAGCCAAAGGTACATGCAAGAACTTAAGTACACATTTAAGCTAGGAACATGAAGCTCATTTCTAACAGACTTGTTCCATTCCTTTTGAAGCAGGAGTCTTTCCCGCTTAACACACAGGGATTTGCAGATACATTTTCTTATGTATTTTTTGAAATAACAGAGCCAAGACAGTATCAGCTGGAAAATTATGCTTCTGGAGTCAAGATCACTATTACAGATGGAAGTTACATAGTAAAAAAAAATTATTTTTCATGTTTTGATAGTATTCCGCATATGGCTTACCTTTTCCTATTTAGAAAAAGGTAGTCAGATAGTAAATGGGTTAGATGGTTATTGTACTTTTAGAAAATCCCTTAAACATGTAGAATGAGCATGGGAAATCTCTCTTAAAATATTTCCATAGGAACACATTAAAATTAAGATATATCTTTCAACATACTGGAATTTGAGAAAGTTAGACAATTAAATGACAGCTCTTTACATACAGTTTGTGAAATCTCTCATCAGTTGCCTTCAGCCTACATTATTCTGGTGATACAAAGAACAGTATTAGCGTATTGTCTGCGGTATCTTCAAATGATAGCTTAATTTACCTTCGAGGACACTTGTGCCATTGGAATGCAGACACAAGAACATGCAACATCCACCTACTTACCTCTATAATCTCCAGCATTCCGGTGTATGTTACAATCCAGTACTGAGAGAGCTACAGAGACAATCTTCCTTTTTAATCTCCTAGGTTTATAGCGTACCAGAAACTCAAATATACATGCAGATGCAGTTGCAGAGACAAGGAACCAGTAGTTAGAATACTCTGGTCCAGAAATAATGGAAACTTTGTAAAGTTTTCCCTTCCTAGCACCATAATGGGAAACCAACAAGTGACTAGAAGTTACTGCTCAAAGTCATTCTAGAGCAGATGACTAACTTTTTACTCCATAAATCATGCAATAATACATGGGTAGGCAATAGGGAAAGACCAACCCCTCTGTGTTGGAAGGAGGATGGTATCAGCCAACTCAGTACAGCAATTCAACATTCAAATTTCAGTCAAGCACCTAATTAATGATCTGAACACCTGAGCAGCAGCTGCTCCATGAACTGGCAGACAATCACTTCACTCTTATTTTGCTGTACTAACCCAATTAGTCGGGATGTGTATTAACAAGGGTGAAATCCTCTCAGGAGAAACTCTATTACTGTTCAACAGCAAAACCGGTACTTGGCATAAAACTGAAGAAATTATACCGTGAAAGGAAAAAGACTACACACTCAAACAGCTGCTACACAGACAACTGGGTTTGTTAACAACTCTTGATATTTCTCATTATCTCCAATCCCATATTACACCAAATGAAAAGCCTTTAAGTAAAAACCTTAATAAAAAGAAAGTATGTATTTATCACATATAACTGTGACATACACCACCTTCCAATGTCCTTGGATTTACAAGTCAACTATTTATTTGATTTGTCGAGACATTATTCACAGAGGAAATTTTGTAAATTTTCTTCAGATACCAAATTTGCTCTGGAACTTTATGAATAACAAAAATAAACTCAACCACATTGAAAATACTTACAAGAGTTGATATGTAATTTTTATATGCCAGGAGACCTTACTTTGCTACTGC